ATGTGGGCCGGGAGAGTGTGGGCGTGGGAGACTAAGGGCGTGGGAGTGTGGGCGTGGGAGAAGTGTGTGGGTGGGAGACTAAGGGCGTGGGAGTGTGGGCGGGAGATGTGGGCGGAGACTAAGGGCGTGGGAGGTGTGGGCGTGGGAGAGTGTGGGCGGGAGAATAGGGGGCGTGGGAGGTGTGGGCGTGGGAGGGTGGGAGGTGTGTGGGAGGGTGTGGGCGTGGGAGAGTGGGGGAGGAGGGTGTGAGATGGGGTGGGGGTGGGAGAGTAAGGGTGTTGGAGAGTGTGGGCATGGGAGTAAGTGTGGCAGAGTGTGGGCGTGGGAGAGTGAGATCAAGAGAAATACAGTAACTACAGCATAACTATCAAGTATAGCTGCAGCAGGAGGTACAGCAGCAGGAGGTACAACAGCAGGAGGTACAGCAGCAGGGGGTACAGCAGCAGGAGTACAGCAGTAGGAGGTACAACAGCAGGAGGTACAGCAGCAGGAGGCACAGCAGCAGGAGGTACAGCAACAGGAAGTGCAACAGCAGAGAGTACACAACAGCAGGAGGTACAGCAACAGGAGGTACAGCAGTGGGAGGTACAGCAACAACAGGAGAGTACAGCAGCAGGAGATTACAGCAGCAGCAGGAGGTACAACAGCAGGAGAATTCACAGCAGTGGGAGGTACACAACAGCAGGAGTACAACAGGAGGTACAGCAACAGGAGGATTCTACAGCAACAGGAGGTACAGCAGCAGAAGGTTACAACAGCAGGAGATACAACAGCAACAGGAGGTACAACAGCAGGAGGTACAACAACAGTCAACAACAGGAGGTACAGCAGCAGGAGGTACAGCAGCATAATTACAGCAACAGGAAGTACAACAGCAGGAGGTACAGCAGCAGGAGGCACAGCAGCAGGAGATGCAACAGGAGCACAGCAGCAGGAGGTTACAGCAGCAACAGGAGTGCAACAACAGGAGAGTACAGCAACAGGAGTTGGCAACAGGAGGGTACAGCAGCAGGAGGTACAGCAACAGGAAGTACAGCAACAGGAGGTACAGCAACAGGAGCACAGCAGCAGGAGATGCTGCAGCAGGAGTGCAACACAGGAGGTGCAACAGCAGCAGGAGTGCAACCAACAGGAGATGCAACAGCAGGAGGTACAGCAACAGGAGGCACAGCAGCAGGAGAGTACAGCAGCAGGGGTACAGCAACAGGAGGTACAACAACAGGGAAGGTACAGCAACAGGAGGCACAGCAGCAGGAGTGCAACAACAGAGCACAACAGCAGGAGGTGCAGCAACAGAATTACAGCAACAAGTACAGCAGCAGGAGGTGCAACAACAGAAGGTGCAGCAGCAGGGAGGCACAGCAACAGGAGCACAACAGCAGAAGTACAGCAGCAGGGAGTACAGCAGCAGGAGGTACAGCAGCAGGAGGTAAGCAACAGAGAATTACAGCAGCAGGAGGCACAGCAGCAGGAAGTACAGCAACAGGAGCACAGCAGCAGAGTGCAACAGCAGGAAGTACACCAGCAGGAGTACAGCAGCAGGAGTACAGCAACAGGAGGTACAGCAGCAGGAGATGCAACAGCAGGAGGTGCAACAGCAGGAGAGTACAGCAGCACAGTGCAGCAGCAGGAGGTACAACAGCAGGAGGAACAACAGCAGAAGGTACAGCAACAGGAGGTACAAGGAGCAACAGGAGGTACAACAGGAGGTACAGCAGCAGGAGGTACAGCAACAGGAGGTACAGCAGCAGGAGGTGCAGCAACAGGAGGTACAACAGCAGCAGGAAGGTGCAACAGAATGCATCAACAGCAGGAGTGCAACAGCAGGGAGGTACAGCAACAGCAGGATTCCAGCAGCAGCAGGAGATACAGCAACAGAAGGTACACAGCAACAGGAGTACAACAGCAACAGGATACAGAAGCAGGAGGTACAGTAGCAGGAGTACAGCAACAGCAGGAGATACAGCAGCAGCAGGAGTACAGCAACAAGAAGGTTACAGCAACAGGAGGTACAACAGCAACAGGGAGGGTACAGCAACAGCAGGAGGTACAACAGCAACAGGAGGATTACAGCAACAGCAGAATTACAGCAACAGAAGGTACATCAGCAGGAGAGGTACAGCAACAACAGAATTACAACAGCAGAATTACAGCAACAACAGGAGGTACACAACAACAGGAGGTACAGCAACAACAGGAGGTACAGCAACAACAGGAGAGTACAACAGCAGCAGGAGGTACAACAACAGAGGAGTACAGCAGCAGGAGGTACACAGCAGCAGGAGGTACAGCAGCAGAGGTACATCAACAGGAGTGCAACAGCAGCAGGAGGTAGCAGCAGCAGGAGGTACAACAGCAGCAGGAGGATGCCAGCAGGAGGAGATACAACAGCAGCAGGAGGTACAGCAGCAGGAGGTACAGCAGCAACAGGAGGTACAGCAACAGGAGGTACAGCAACAGGAGGTACAAGCAGCATCAAGGAGGTACAGCAGCAGAAGGTACATCAGGGAGGTACAGCAGCAACAGGAGGTACAACAGCAACAGGAGGTGCAACAGCAACAGGAGGTACAGCAACAGGAGGAGTACAGCAGCAGCAGGAGGTACAGCAACAGGAGGTACAGCAGCAGCAGGAGGATTACAACAACAGGAGGTACAGCAGCAGGAGGTACAACAGCAGCAGGAGGTGCAACAGCAGAGGTACATCAGCAGGAGTACAACAGCAACAGGAGGTACAGCAGCAGCAGGAGGTACAACAGCAGCAGGAAGTACAACAACAGGAGGAGGTACAACAGCAGCAGGAGGTACAACAGCAGGAGGTCAACAGCAGCAGGAGGTACAACAACAGCAGGAGGTACAACAGCAACAGGAGGAGGTACAACAGCAGCAGGAGGTACAACAGCAACAGGAGGCTAACAGCAACAGGAGGTACAACAACAGAAGGTACATCAGCAGGAGATACAACAGCAGCAGGAGGTACAGCAGCAACAGAGAGGTACAACAGCAACAGGAGGTACAACAACAGCAGGAGGCACAGCAACAGGAGGTACAGCAACAGGACAGAATACAACAGCAGAATTACAACAACAGGAGTACAACAACAGGAGGTATAACAACAGGAGAACAGCAACAGGGGTAAAGCAACAGTGACAACAACAGAAGATACAGCAGCAGGAGTACACAGCAGGAGGTGCAACAGCAGGAGGTACAACAGCAGGAGCACAGCAGCAGAGGTACAGCAACAGGAGGATACAGCAACAGGAGGTACAGCAGCAACAGAATTACAACAGCAGAAGTCAACAACAGGAGGTACAACAGCAGGAGGTACAACAGCAAGGTACAGCAACAGGAGGTACAGCAGCAGGAGGTACAGCAGCAGGACACAGCACGGAGAACAGCAGCAGGAGGTATAGCAGCAGGAGTGCAACAACAGGAGGCACAGCAACAGGAGAATACAGCAGCAGGAGGTACAGCAACAGGAGGTACAGCAACGAGGAGGCACAGCAGCAGGAGATTACAACAACAGGAGAGTACAGCAACAGGAGTACAACAGCAGGAGGTACAGCAACAGGAGGCAGCAGCAGGAGCACAACAGCAGGAGGTACAGCAGCAGGAGGTACAGCAGCAGGGTACAACAACAGGAGGTACAGCAACAGGAGGTACAAGCAGCAGGAGGCACACAGCAACAGGAGTACAGCAGCAGGAAGGTACAGCAGCAGGAGGTACAGCAGCAGGAGGTACAGCAACAGAATGTCAGACAGCAGGGTACAACAGGGAGGTACAGCAGCAGGAGGTACAGCAGCAGGAGGCACAACAACAGGAGGCACAGCAGCAGGAGGCACAGCAGCAGGAGGTACAGCAGGAGGTCACAGCAGCAGGAGGCACAGCAGCAGGAGGTACAACAGCAGGAATTACAACCAGCAGGAGGCACAGCAGCAGGAGGTGCAGCAACAGGAGGATTCCAGCAGCAGGAGGTACAACAGCAGGAGTACAGCAACAGAGCTGGCAACAGGGAGGTACAGCAACAGAACAGGGGAGGTACCAGCAGCAGGAGGCACAGCAACAGGAGGTACAACAGCAGGAAGTACAGCAACCAGGAGGTACAGCAGCAGGAGGTACAACAACAGGAGGTACAACAGCAGGAGCACAGCAACAGGAGGTACAGCAACAGGAGCACAGCAGCAGGTACAGCAACAGGAGGTGCAACACAGGGTACAGCAGCAGGAGGTGCAACAACAGGAGGTACAGCAACAGGAGGTACAGCAACAGGAAATTACAGCAACAGGAGTGCAACAGCAGAATAGCAGGAGGTACAACAGCAGGAGATTACAGCAACAGGAGGCACGGCAGCAGCAGGAGTGCAACAACAGGAGGTACAGCAACAGGAGGTGCAACAGCAGGAGTACAGCAGGAGGAGGAGTACAGCAGCAGCAACAGGTACAGCAACAGAAAGTACAGCAACAGGAGTGCAACAGCAGCAGAGGTACAGCAGCAACAGGATACAACAGCAGCAGGAGGTACAACAGCAACAGGGTACAAGCAACAGGAGGAGAATACAACAGGAGTACAGCAGCAGGAGTACAACAGCAGGAGAATTACAGCAACAGGAGGTACAACAGCAACAGGAGGGTACAACAGCAACAGGAGGTACAGCAGCAGGAGGTACAACAACAGGAGGTGCACAGCAGCAACAGGAGTACAACAGCAAAGGTACAGCAGCAGCAAGGAGTTACAACAGCAGGAGTACAACAGAGATTAAGCAACAGGAGGTACAACAGCAGAGGTACAGCAACAGGAGAATTACAGCAGGAGGTACAGCAACAGGAGGTACAGCAACAGGAGGTACAGCAACAGGAGGTACAGCAACAGGAAGTACAACAACAGGAGGTGCAACAGCAGGAGTACAGCAACAGGAGGAGTACAGCAACAGAAGGTACAACAGCAAGAGAGGTACAACAAGGTACAGCAGCAACAGGAATTACAACAGCAGGAGGAGTACAGCAACAGCAGGAGGTACAGCAACAGGAGGAGGTACAACAGCAACAGGAGGTACAACTAAGCAGGAGGTACAGCAACAGGTACAGCAACAGGAGGGTACAACAGCAGGAGGTACAGCAAGCAGGAGAATTACAGCAGCAGGAGATACAACAGCAGGAGTACAAGCAGCAGAATTACAGCAACCAGGAGTGGGTACCAGGGAGGTGCGAATAGGTACAACGCAGCAGGAGTGCAATGACAGGTGCAACAGCAGGAAGTGCACAGCAGCAGAGTGCAACAGCAGCCAGAAGGTGCAGCAACAGGAAGGTACAACAGACAGGAGTGCAGCAGCAGAAGGATGTTACAACAGCAGAATTGCAACAACAGGAATGCAACAGCAGCAGGGTGCAACAGCAAGAATTACAGCAGAGTTACAACAACAGAAGTACAACAGCAGGAGTGCAGCAGCAGAGTGCAACAACAGGAGGTACAGAGAATTACAACCAACAGGAGGTACAGCAACAGGAGGTACAGCCAGCAACAAGGTACAACAACAGGAAGTGCAACAGCAGGAGGTACAACAGGAAGTACAACCAGCAGAATTACAGCAGCAGGAGGTGCAACGACAGGAGGTACAATGACAGGGAGGTGCAGCAGAGAGTACAGCAAGCAGGAAGTGGGGAGCAACAGAAGGTGCAGCAACAGGAGTACAGCAGCAGGAGTGCAACAACAGGAGGTACAACAGCAGGAGGTACAGCAACAGATGCAACAGCAGAATTACAACAGCAGGGGTAGCAGCAGGAGGTGCAGCAGCAGGAGTGCAACAGCAGCAGGTGCAACAGGGTTGGCAAGCAGGAGTGCAAACGACAGGCATACAGAATTACAACAGAGATGTGACAGGAATGTGTGGAATTACAACAGCAGCAGGAGTACAGCAACAGAAGGAACCAACAGCAGGAGTGCAACAGGTGCAACAACAGCAGGAGTACAACAACAGGGTACAACAGCAGGAGGTGCAAGCAGCAGGATGCAACAGCAACAGCAGGAGAATTACACAGCAACAGGGTACAACAACAGGAGTCTGTAGCAGAATTACAACAGCAGAATTGCTGTGTGGGAGGTGCAACAGGCAGATTGTCAAGGAGTAGCAGGTGCAGCAACCAGAGGTACCCAGGAGAATGCAACAGAATTACAACAAGGTACAACAACAGAGAGAGTTACAGAGGAGGGTGACAGCAAGTCAACAGAGGTACAGCAACAGGAGTACAACAGGAGGTACACAGCAGGAATTACAACAACAGAATTACAGCAACAAAATGTAGGAGGTACAGCAAGTGGACAAGTGCAACAGCAGAGATGCAGCAACCAGGAGTACAACAGCAAGTGCAGCAAGGTACTGTGGAGTACACAGCAGCAGGATTACAGCAACAGGAGGTACAACCCAGCAGGGAGGTACAGCAGCAGAATTACAGCAGCAGGAGTACAGCAGCAAGTGCAACAGCAAGGAGTACAGCAACAGGAGGTGGCAACAGGCAACCAGCAAGTTACAGCAACAGGTGCAGCAGAGAGTGCAAACAGCAGGTGCAACAGGAGAAGTGCAGCAGCAGGAGGTACAGCAGCAGGAGTACAGCAGCAGGAGGTACAGCAGCAGGAGGTGCAACAGCAGGAGGTACAGCAGCAGGGGTGCAACAGCAGGAGTACAACAGCAGGAGGTGCAGCAGCAGGAGTTACAGCAGGAGTGCAACAGGAGGTACAGCCAGCAAGTGCAACAGACCAGAGGTACAGATACAGCAGGAGGTCTGGCAGCAACAGGTACAGCAGATGCAGCAGCAGAGATGCAACAGGAGGTACAGCAGGTGCAACAGAGGTACAGCAGCAGAATTACAGCAGCAGGATGTGGGGAGGTAACAGCAACAGGATGTGACAGGAGTGCAACAAGTGCAACAGCAGGAGGTGCAGCAGGAGGTGCAACAGCAGGAGAGTGCAGCAGCAGGAGGTGCAACCAGGAGATACAACAGCAGGAGGTACAGCAGGAGCAGCAAGCAGCAGGAGCCAAGCAGGTACAGCAGGAAGTACAGCAGCAGGAGTGCAACAGCAGTGCACAGCAGGTGCAACAGCAGGAGTGCAACAGCAAGTGCAAGCATGGGAAGTGAAGGGCAACAGAGATTACAACAGCAGAGTGCAAGCAGCAGGAGTGCAACACAGGGTGCAGCAAGGAGGATTACAGCAGAAGTGGGGTACAACAGCAGGAGGATTACAGCAGCAGAGGGTGGCAACAGGGACAACAGAGATACAGCAACAGGAGGTGCAACAGCAGAGGTGCAGCAGCAGGGAGGAGTACAACAGCAGGAGGTACAGCAGCAACAGGAGGTACAGCAGCAGGATTTACTGACAGCAGAATGCAGCAGCAGGAGGTACAGCAGCAGGAGTGCAGCAGCAGAATTACATGACAGCAGGGTACAGCAACAGGAGGTGCAACAGGAGGAGTGCAACAGCAGGATGCAAGCAGCAGAGGTGCAATGACAGAATTACAGCAGCAGGAGGTACAGCAACAGGAGGCAGCAGCAGGAGGTACAGCAGCAGAGGTACAGCAGCAGGAGGGTACAGCAGCAGGAGGGAGTGGTACAGCAGCAGGAAGTACAGCAGCAGGGAGGTACAGCAGCAGGAAGTACAGCAGCAGGAGGTACAGCAGCAGGAGGTACACAGCAGCAGGAGGTACAGCAGCAGGAGGTACAGCAGCAGGAGGTACAGCAGCAGGAGGTACAGCAGCAGGAGGTACAGCAGCAGGAGGTGCAGCAGCAGGAAGTACAACAAGCAGGAGAGTACAGCAGCAGGAGGTACAGCAGCAGGAGGTACAGCAGCAGCAGGAGGAGTACAGCAGGAGGTACAGCAGCAGGAGGTACAGCAGCAGGAGGTACAGCAGCAGAAGTACAACAGCAGGAGAATACAGCAGGAGGTACAGCAGCAGGAGGTACAGCAGCAGGAGGTACAGCGAGGAGGTACAGCAGCAGGAGCTACAGCAGCAGCAGGAGGTACAGCAGCAGGAGGTACAGCAGCAGGAGGTACAGCAGCAGGAGGTACAACAGCAGGAGGTACAGCAGCAGGAGGTACAGCAGCAGGAGGTACAGCAGCAGGAGGTACAGCAGCAGCAGAGACTACAGCAGCAGCAGGAGTACAGCAGCAGGAGGTACAGCAGCAGGAGGATACAGCAGCAGGAGGTACAGCAGCAGGAGGTACAGCAGCAGGCAGCACTACTCCCCCACTGGCCTTGAGGCGGTGTGTATGCTAGACACATTAGAATCATTCAAACACCATCTCACTCCCTCACTCACTCCCTCACTCACTCCCTCACTCCCTCACTCCCTCACTCCCTCACCATACACACCCTCTGCTACACCTGGTATACCACACGGGGGTCACACACTGAACGATCAGCCAATGATGTGTTTTATTAGTGACGTCACCCTCGTTGGAGAGCTCTGAGGTTATCTGAGAGGCCGATACAGGATCGTCAGATGTTGCACGTGTGGGGGGTTACATCTAGTGCGGAGGGCAAATGTTGCACGTGTGAGGGCTACATCTAGTGCGGAGGAGGCAAATGTTGCACGTGTGAGGGGATACATCTAGTGCGGGAGGGGCAAATGTTGCACGTGTGAGGGTACCATCTAGTACGGGAGGGCAAATGTTGCACGTGTGAGGGACTACATCTAGTACGGAGGCAAATGTTGCACGTGTGAGGGACCCATCTAGTGCGGGAGAGGCAAGTGTTACACGTGGTGCTGCTCCAGGCGTTATGGTGTAGATTGATCGTCTCCCAGGTGAGTTGAGGGGAGCTAATCTTCAGGTGTTCTAGCTAAATTGTATTGCATTCGAGCTCCTGTTAGTAAGCTGTTTTATGTCTCCTTCCTTCCTTCCTTCCTTCCTTCCTTCCTTCCTTCCTTCTTTCCTATCTCCACCGCCTCACCTCATCATCTACTTCTGCTCCTTCTCTTCCTCCTCGACACACACACACACACACACACACACACACACACACACACACACACACTCTTCTATAAATAGCTACAGGAGTTGATAAGTTCCTAGAGCAGTTCTCCTTCCTCTGTGTGGTTGTGTGTTTGTCTGTTTGTCTATTTGTGTGTTTCTGTCTGTCTGTCTGTCTGTCTATTTCTTTGTCTATCTATGTGTGTATATGTGTGTGTGTTTTTGTCTGTCTCTTTGTTGTTATTGTGTGTGTGTGTGTGTGTGTCCCCCACTCATCCCTTCCTTCACCTCCCCTACCCCTCTCCCTCCCCACCCTCCCCTCCATCCGTCAGTAGAACAAGCGACCTCAGTGGGACCAACATGCTTGACCTTTCCCATCACAGGTCAGAGGTCACGAGATCATACAAGGTCATCATCACGTAACTATTATTTGGCTATTGTTTGAAGGAATGGGGATTTGTTGGTATTGTTTACAGGACTATTGTTTGGCGTAGCTAGTATGATCACTCCACTACAAACAATGAATCAACAAACACAAACAAAGAATCAACAAACACAAACATAAGAACATAAGAATGGAGGAAACTGCAGCGATACTGGGCAGTCCCGTTTACACCCAACCCCTTTTGCTCTTATAAGCATCCAACCTATGTTTGAAGCTGATGATATTTGGTAACTTGTTCCATTCATCCACTACTCTGTTTCCAAACCAGTGTTTACCTATTTCACGCCTAAATCTAAATTGTCTAATTTAAAACCATTGTTACGAGTTCGCTCCGGTTGGATAGTTTGAGTACCTTTGTAATGTCACCTTTGTTTAGCCCTGACTTATACACCTCTATCAGGTCGCCCTCGCTCTACACGTCTCTCAGGGGGTGCAAATTAAGATGCTTTAACCTGTCTCTATACTCAAGGTTCCTAATGCCCGGATTAATCTTGTCATTCTCCTCTGAATTCTTTCAATGATTCTATATCCATCCTGTAATACGGTGACCAGAACTGAACTGCGTAATCCAGGTGTGGTCTCACAAGGCAAGATACAGTTTTAGGATGACCTCGCTAGTCTTGTAACTAACACTCCGGTATGAACCCAACTACTTTATTAGCCTTGTTGAGCAAAAACACATTGTTTCCTTGGCTTAAGGTTCCTACTTATCATTACTCCTAAATCTCTCTCGCAGTCGGATTTCTCTATGGCATCGTTGTTCATCTGGTATCTGGTTTCCCTGTTTACATCTCCTATACTGAGTACTACATTTGTCCACGTTGAATTTCATCTGCCATTTTTCAGACCATTCGAAAAATTTGTTTAGATCTTCCTGTAGTTTTGCGGAGTCCTCGTCAGATTTAATAACGCGTCCTATTTTAGTGTCATCAGCAAATTTACTTATGTTGCTGTCTATGCCGATATCTATGTCGTTTATGTATATAATAAATAATAATGAATCAACAAACACAAACAAGAAACACAAGCAAAGAATCGAACCCGTGAACTCGTATCAACCATAGGACATCTCCCTGCCACTCATCCACCAACTCACTCCAATAAACCAATCCAACAAATCGTGGCGCCTGAGTTAGTTGTGTGTGTGTGTGTGTGTGTGTGGCGCGGAGGTGTGGTAGTGGTGACCCCGTGCACAAAAGCCTTGGACACACACACACACATATACACCTCGTCTGACCGTGTGTGTGTGTGTGTGTGTGTGTGTGTGTGTGTGTGTGTGTGTGTGTGTGTGTGTGTCATACCGTGAAACCTAAATATATTGACCCTCAGAGATACAGTAAATGCAGGTTATGTGATGTAGAGACAGACAGACAGAGAGAGAGAAAGAGAAGGACAGAGAGATATACAGAATAATCTCTCGCACACAACTGACAGACATTATCTCAAAAGAGGTGTGTGAAATGTGAGACAGCTGTGACGCGGCCCCATTCCTCTCACACAGGGTAGGAGTGGGAGGACAGGAGTGAGAGAGATAGAGACCCCTACCTTACCCCCCCTTCCCACGATCTTCCATCTCTTAACACAGGTTCTCCCAGCTACTGAGAGACAATGGGAGATGGAGAAGAGATAGTACTGTGAGAGAGAGAGAGATCTCAGAGAGGATCCCGCGAGATAGGAAAAGACTTGGTATACATACATACATACATACATACATACATACATACATACATACATACATACATACATACATACATACATACACGTTTTAGGACTCACTTAATATAACCTAAATTCTTATAGTCTTGTAAATAAAACAATTTTCCACCTGACTCACTTAAGCTGCTACATCAAGATGGATTTACAGAAGACAACAAGTTAGACTATTTTCCACTTAACTGAATTATATATGTGAGAACGTATCTAAGACCCTTCCCTAACCCGATCTAACCTAATCTAACCTACTCTTGCCTAATCTAACCTACTCTTGCCTAATCTAACCTAATCTAACCTACTCTTGCCTAATCTAACCTAATCTAACCTACTCTTGCCTAATCTAACCTAATCTAACCTACTCTTGCCTAATCTAACCTAATCTAACCTACTCTTGCCTAGTCTAACCTACTCTTGCCTAATCTAACCTAATCTAACCTACTCTTGCCTAATCTAACCTAATCTAATCTAACCTAACCGATAAGGTGTCTCTCTATTTTACCTGTACACATTACCTGTCAGCCTCCACACGTATTACCTGTGAGCCCTAATTACTCTACAGGTGAGCCAAGATGTATTGTTATTCATACACTATTTTACAAAGGATTATTATAGTGTAATTAAACTGTATTTTATGTTACTTTGTCCTCATTGTTCTATAATTTCCTGACTTGATTATTTCCTTATTTGATTACTTGTTTATTGCCTTCACTCAGGTACATAAATATGGGTGTAAAAGAACAGGAAACATCGACCAATATAATTTTCGTTCAGGTCTGCGTGTGTGTGTGTGTGTGTAGGTTTGTGTATGTGTTTGTGTAGGTCTGTGTGTGTGTGTTTGTGTAGGTCAGTGTGTGTGTGTTTGTGTAGGTCTGTGTATGTGTTTGTGTAGGTTTGTGTATGTGTTTGTGTAGGTCTGTGTATGTGTTTGTGTAGGTCTGTGTATGTGTTTGTGTAGGTCTATGTATGTGTTTGTGTAGATATACATGTGTGTTTTTCTGTCAATAACAAACT